TTCCTTGATTATATTTCCCTGAATTTAATATGTTTAAATTGATATTGTAAGTTTCATAATTATTTTCATATAATTTTTGAGTTTAAAGTTTATAAAATTTAGGTATTTAGGGTTTTTCGGATTTTGCTAAACATTGAATATCAAAATAAATTGAATCTTTGAGACTTCAAATTATCTTATGGTATTATAACTCTTTTATAGTTATAAATAATGTTTGTAATTTATTTTATCCGTTTATTGGCATTCCATGTAGTGGTTTCGAGATTCAAGCGAAATTGAGGAATCAAGTATACAAGTCCTAGTTTTTAACTTTAACTTAAGTTCCTACGAGACTCGGACCTAATTTATACCACTAGGTCAAGTGCATGATGTGTGTATATGATTCATGAAAAGGTGTTCGAGTCAAAGAGCGACCCGAATATGGATAGTCACTACAGTTAAGTAGTTGTAGAATTCACATATCAATGTGAAATCTAAGTACACTGTCCATCGTTTCTAATTGTTTCCTAGTTTTTAGTAGGTTATAACTTAGCATCTAGTTACTAAGTCTAGTATGTGTCGTGCCTATATATGCAACTAAGTTTAGTGAAATCTAGAACCGACTCGAATTTTGACGGTTGTCACCTGTACGCTGCACGTACGGGCTTGTACTCCCAGCTTACTCAACCAATTCAGCCAACTTCAAGATTAAGCTCCTAACCTGTTAAGACTTTATTCCAAGATGCAAATTTGGCCCCTTTAAGTTGGAATACCATGTAAAGTTTCTAATTTTACGTCCATGCATTACCATAAGAAGCTCTAAAGCTCAAAAAGGACTTAATGAAAGACTTAATGAATGCATAAAGCCCCTAAATTCCATAAAGTTGGTACCTTTATGCCAAAGGAGTCAATGAAGACCTTAGATATGACGGAATAAGCATTTGGGACATCCTAATCCCAACATCCACCCAAACCATGGCTAAAAACATAGCAATCTAACCCAAAAAGAGGTCTAAGCATCTAGCAAGCAAGATGAGAACTTGATTACTCAAAATCTTGGGAAAATAAGGTGGTGGTTTTGGATCCAAGACCTCCTCTTCATGCTAAGCAACTTCTAGCTTCTTCAATTCCTTGAAAATGCACAAAAATGAACACCAAAAGCTCTCCAAAAGCTCACACACACTCAACAATGGAAGATAAGACTCGATTTTAGGGTGTCTAGACAAAAGAGGTTGATAGGGAGGCTAACACTTGAGACTTAATGACATTATATAGGGATTGAACCCTGAAAATTAGGGTTTTGAGTCTGGCCATGTACGCTGCATGTACCACCTTGTACATTGTGTGTACATGCATGCCCCTGCGATCCTTTTTGTTCCATTTATGCCCCGCATACACCAGGCTTACAGCCAGCGTATGGCCTCAACTAAGCCCACACATTAAGGCACAATTTACTAAGCCTAACACAAGTTACATAATTAGACAATAAAATAAATAATGGAATGAATGATACCTTAGAACCATCAGGCGTTACAACAAGGGTATTCATGCATCGGAGATGAAGTATTCCCTGTCCCTGATGATTAACAAAGTTAGGAATCTGAATTTGGTTCCTCTTCAAGATGCAACTTCTTCATTAACAGCTCCAAGTTCCCTAGGGATTCAAAAGATAAGATCCAAGGATGCTAAATTTATTTTTCCCTTCGGATCTGTTTATATCAATAATTCATTACCAGTGGATGTTTTTCTTGTTCAACATCTTTTCATCCGGGAACCAGTACATGGGATATTCTATGTTGATGGGAATGATCATATGTGTTTCCAGTGGACTGATGATCTGTATAAGGCTCACACTGAACATTTGTTTCATTTAAGGCTAGAGTGTTTAGGCAAACGTGAAGTTGATAGCTATCAATGGCTAATCTCTTTTAAACTGAGTAAAAGAACATATAAACTTGCAAGTGATGTCTACAAGTGGATCAAGTCTGAAATGATCATTGAAGCTGACAAAGTCCATCATCCTGACTTCTCTTGATTAGGTTTTGACATCATCATATTGGGGGAGATTGTAAGGTCGAACCTTATAATCTGATAAGTCAAACCTACTCCACATTAATACATTAGCGTAAGCGTGTCATCCACTGGATAACTCTTAGCTCGACAACATGAAGATAACTTCTGTATTAATAAAAATTGGTTCTTGATTACATTTGTTCTTATTTCTTGATATTTGTTTATTATGATCCTTCATAAAGCACTCAACAATATACAAGTAATTTTCAAAGAGAGAGGAGAATATATGGAGATGATCTTAGCCTATTAACACAAAAGAAATGAAGAACTCTACTAGCTTTGGTCCTCTCTCTTCCTTTTATACTTATACCTCTAAATGAAAGCCCATGCTATCATTAAATGAGATCAATACTTGAAAGTAAGGAATGATGTGTAAAAACTTAGTCAAAGAAGCAACCAACCATATATATGACTAGATATGGACTGTTTGAAGGAAAGACAAAGATAAGGAGTGCCTAACACTTCTTCTTAATATTTAAATGTACATAACATATGCTAGTGGTCTTTTATAAGTCCAAAATATTGTACACTACTTATTTAATCATACCATGTGATATAAATAACTAGTTATTCTCTTTTTATTAGTATTTTCATAAAACAATAACTCCCTAATTAAAATACAGGACTTGATTATATTTATTAATAATCATATACTTAATAAATAATCAATTAGTGTTTACTTGTTATAAGGTGTGACCCTATATGATCATATGTTATTAGTAAATATCATTTCATAATGATTCTTGATCAAATGTATGATATGATTTAAAGGGTAGCCATATGTAATCAACGTTCATTTGTTCCTTTTAACCATAGTAAATAGATATATTTAGGGCGCCCTTCATTTGATTGTGTGTTGGCAGTGAATATGTAGCTCTATTCAGGCAGGGTTGACAGTGTCCTTGAGTCACTATGGATCTATATTGAGAAACACAATTCTTGAACTTAAGATCTAGTCAATAATTCTATGTCTTAAGATTCATACTAGATATCAAGAATAAAGAATACATGATCACTTATCAAGGATTGGATCGAACCTAAGGGTTAAGAAGATCTAGGTAGTTGTCAAGAGGACATAAACGATGTGAAGTTATGAGTTTGACCATAGAGATGTTGTGATGTGTGTAAGTGGGAGTTTGTTGGAGATATTCCTACTACATAACATGTTGGTAACATAAATTGATTTATATGGGCATTTACAGGTTACACACTTGACCCAAGAAGAAAGAAAGGACAATTAAATAAGAAGAATATAGTATATTATTTATTGAGTATTTATAAACAATTAAAAATTAATATAATTAATTTATTATGTATGAAAGAATTAATTAATTACGTCTGAAAGAATTATATTAACCATTTGGATTAATTAACGGATAATTCTAGAAGGATAATTAGTAATGAATAAAATAACATTATTGTTAGATTTAAAATTGGAAAGGACTAGATTTCCTCAACTATATAAAAGGAGGAGCCTTAAAGATCCACCAAAACCCTAAAATCGGCCCTTGTAGATATCCCTTCCTTCTGTTATGTGTCGACTAAGAGAAAGAAAACAACAACTTTCTTTCAATTCGAAATTCAAGCCTCTAGAGCTAGGGATCTTACTTGCTTGCTAGTCAAGGGGTGCAATATTGTAAGAGCGGCTCTTGTTTGGGTCCTCAATCTTCTTAATAGTTGTTAAAGGCTTTCCTTAAACCTTCTTCTATGGTTAGGGTTGGTATTAGTGGAAAGAATCATGATTTATGGTTTAATCATAAGTGTGCATGTTTTAAATGCTTCTATTGTATTATGTTTAATTATATGTATTCTTATGAACATAAAGAACAACTTATGATCTAACAAAAAGAACTTCCTTTACTTGGATGATATCTCCCACCCCTTTTGTACTTAGGCCAAAATATCCAAAGTCAACTAAACTCTTAGGCCATCATCATGATTTTGGTTTATCGGGTACAAACTACCAACAATAATTATGGAAGTGGGTCTACGTATGTCCTCACCATTTGGTATTTCCTCAATTTTGACCTTAGACGCACCTCTTAGACATAAAGTAGGTAAGTGAATTAGTTTCATTGTGTTTAATGTATACCTTGATGATCTTATTCTCCTTAACATATTGTGCAAGGTTCATAACATTAGCATCATTTCCTAATGATCTTAGTCCAAAGTTCAAATTAACGTTTGACTAGCAATAGTGGTAGAAAATAATTAGTGGTATCGAGTAACCCAACTCTAGCATGATAATATCCAACTCATGAACACCGATAACTTATCTACATCTTTTAGGTCCATGTATCATACTATGTATTGGATGTATCTTATCCTTTGGAAATTGGTGAACTTCCAACCATGATGAAGCTCAATGGTGAGCATAGTAGGATGAACTTCTGTAAAAAGCAACAACAAATAAAAAAACTAACACTTGTTAGTCGTTGGAGTATTTATTAGGTTTTTAGAATTATCAATAAGAAACAAATCATAATACAATAAAAAAAATCATTGCATCAAAAACTTGATATCTTGGCCTAACTGTCCCCATTGTCAACACCATACCCCAAGACTATTCAGAAGCAAGCAATGAATACTAGATAAACGAGCATGTCTGTTCGATTAGGTTTTTTCAGTAATGGAGATTGGAGAGGGTTTAGTGGAGAGACAAGGGTTGATGAATAAGATTTTGTCAAGATTCTTGTTTTGAAATGGCGGTTACACAAGTATGATGAGAAATGTTAGTAGAAATACGAAAATGCCTCTTGTTTTATAAGCACTTGGTACAAGTTAAGGACCATATTAGCAATTTTCTCTCTTATTTATCTTTTTTTGTAATTCAGTTTTTCATAAACTTATAAAACAGTCGACATTTTCTTATTTTTGTTTTATCAATTATAAACTTCTTAATTTGCAACCATTTGGGTTGTGGTGACTTGGTAAGACATATGGAAGATATGGTGGATAACCTATTGACCCATGTTCAAATCCTGGCACCACTCAGCCCTCGTGGCCAAGGAGGTTCGTCTGTAGTGACTCCAGAACATAAGGCAAAGTCTGATGTTTGCAGCGGAGGATTAGTCGGTGCATGAAAGCTGGTCTGAAATCGTCGTCAAGGAAGTTCCCTTTCCAAAAAAAAAAAAATCTTAATTTGTAATTCATTAAATCACCGTTTTGCACATGCACATAATTCTTAGGACCACCCATTTTACGGTTGAACTCTCTTTTTTGCGTTTACATAAAAACAAAAACCATTCACACCAACGAACCAAATTTCATATCTTTACAAAGCGGGGCTAAATGTAATTTCATTAAAGTAGTGTGTGGTGGATGTAAATACTACTATTACTATAAAAGCAACGATACGATGTATTAAAAAAAGAACACCAATGTGTCAGTAATTTACAGTAACTACACCCTACGCCAAGCAGAAGCTCCCACTGTTCATCAACGTAGATTCTCCGATCATCTTCTTTCACCAGAACCACCGCCTCCGCCTTATCCCCTATCTGGTACGAATAGTATTCTCGAACTCATTCCATTTCATCTTGTAGTTCTCTTTTTACTTTGATTTTGCTTCTTTCATTTAGAGTTGTTGATTTTTAGATTAGAATTGTAGAAATCGAAACATGTTTTTCTAACTCTAAAATTTAATAGAATTGTATAGAAACAACGATTTGTCTTGCATGAATTTCTGATGATTTCATCATTCTTTTTCAGAACATCCAGGAGCAATTCGAAATTCAGTTTCCTTCAATCATGGCGATGAAATTGCAAATTGTTTTCGTTTTCATTTGCTCTTTTTTTATCCTTACTAATACTGAGGGTATCCAACAGCTACGATTTGATCAAACGAAAGGCGAGTTCAAGATTCTACAGGTGGCTGACATGCACTACGCTGATGGAAGTAAAACCCCATGTGAAGATGTTCTTCCAGATCAATTCCCCCATTGCTCTGACTTAAACACCACTGATTTCATTCAGAGAATGATCGACGCTGAATCACCCGACCTCATTGTTTTCACTGGAGACAACATCTATGGATCCGATGCAACAGATGCAGAAGCTTCCATGAATGCAGCTTTTGCTCCTGCCATTTCATCAAACATCCCATGGACAGCTGTCTTAGGAAACCATGATCAAGAATCCACGTTATCCAGAGAAGGTGTCATGAATCATATCGTTCAAATGAAACACACTTTGTCTCTTCTTAACCCACCTGGTTTTGATGATTTTATAGATGGTTTTGGGAATTACAATCTTCAAGTGTTTGGAACTGAAGGATCAGATTTTGTGAATAGTTCCATCTTAAACTTATACTTTCTTGATAGTGGTGACTACTCTACAGTTCCATCTATCCCTGGATATGGATGGATCAAAACATCTCAACAGTTATGGTTTCAAGAAACTTCAATGGATCTTCAAAACAACACAAAAGCTCCTGGACTTGCTTACTTTCACATCCCATTGCCCCGAATATTCACAGTTTGATTCTTCAAACTTTACGGGTGTGAGACAAGAAGGGATAAGTTCTGCTTCTGTGAACTCTGGATTCTTTACAACAATGGTGGAATCAGGTGATGTGAAGGCTGTTTTCACTGGACATGATCATTTGAATGATTTTTGTGGAGAGTTGAAAGGAATTAATCTTTGTTATGCTGGAGGGTTTGGGTACCATGCTTATGGGAAGGCGGGGTGGTCAAGAAGGTCAAGGGTGGTGGTTGTGTCTTTGGAGAAAGAGTCAAGTGGGAATTGGGGGGCAGTTAAGTCAATTAGAACATGGAAGAGGCTTGATGATGAAAAGTTAACCACCATTGATGATCAGATACTTTGGAGCAACAATTCATCCATCTGGGGATCGTAAAAGTAAAGAAAAAAGTGTTGTTTGAATCATCAAATTTTACAATGAATGGCAAAATGGGAATTTCAATCAATGAATATACGGTGTCATAATGTCATGTGAATGTAGTTATCATAATCTTCATCAAATCTGATGTTTATGGTTTGGTTTATCTAATAATTTTGTTTTATTTTTGCCTTGGTATGATCGGTATTATGTTGTGTTGGAAAATAAGTTTTATATTTCACTAAAGATAATTATTAGCATCTTCCAAGCATAAACTTGTCAATCACATATGGATGAAAAAGAATATAATAAGTGTTTTCTTGTTATTAAAGTGACTGTATATAGTTTTTGATACAAACTAAGTGTATGTCTAAAATGGTTTATTAGTTAATGGTATCTTATGGATAAAGTGTTGAATACCTACATATTGTTTCTGATTCTTTTGGACTGAATGAACTTGAATGAACTGTTTAAAGCTAAGTAATTGACCATTTTACCCTTCCGTATAAACATAAACATGAACAAGCATAAACATAAATAAACCCATTTACAAAAACCATAAACAAACCATTACTGTAAATCATTTACAAAACCATAAACATAAACATCATAAATTTGTCTAATTATTCTAATGCAACCCTTACCATTCCTATATGTTGCCAATAATGACACTATCATTTGTTTACGAGATCAGGGAATGCAAAATGGCTTCTTTTGGTATGTTGATTTCTATATCATCTTGAAACATAACATAGGTTTTTTGTAATGGCATTTATAAGTTAAAGAATAGCAATATATTTCAATTAATTTGTTTATTATAACATTGTATATTGAAAAACCTACCCATATAAAGCGATCTCATGCAAATACAAACCGATTTGCACTATATAATTGGGTAAACTTTTCAAAATATAGTATCATAATAGAAAAAAAAAACAAAAGTATAATGATAAATAGGTAGATTTTTCTAAGTAAAAGAAAAAAAAAGGAAGTGCAATATCAATAAATAAAAAATGAAAGTACAATGTTATATTATCAATTAAATTCCTCAAACTACGATGTCTTAAGAAAAAAAAAATCAAAAGTGCAATGCTTTAAGGCCGTCTGAAGTTTTGGCCGTTTGTTGGAGTTGTAGGATTGCGATTGACTAAGCAATTCATATTCAAGGACCCACTTTGGAGTTTCTCACATAATTAGCCACTCTTTTTGATGGTCAAAGGATTTACCACCGTGGTTGATGTTGTTTTGTTGAAAAGTTGTGGTTAAAATGTTGAATTCATTTGCCCCACTTCCATGCATGTTCATGATGCATGTTCATGAGGTTGTTGTAGATACCATTAAAATTGGTGCAACTTGCTTTTAGCTTCGGTCATTCGCTATTTACACTGTTGTAGATCTGATATACATCCATTTCCATTTGCCTGTGGAAGTGTGCTGGCACGAGCTCCAAATTATTGTCCTGGATTAGGCTTGGCCCGTCTTCACATCTACAGATATAGAAATCCAAGCTTTTCTTGACGCCACTTCTTCATCTTTGATTTAATTTCTACCACGTTTTTTGCATTTTTGTTATTTTATAGTTCTAGATAATTATGGTTGAGTTTCCGGTACTATTTCGTCGTCAACGTCATGGAAGGTTGTGGTTATGAAGGTTGTGCTTTTGAAGGTTGGGCATGGGAAGGTGGTTGAAATTGTTGGAACTGGTTTGGGTTTGATTGGTTGAAGTAATTTTGTTGGAATGGATGTTGGAAAAATGTTGGATTTGAATAGGTACGATTATAGCACCTTCATAAACCCTCACGTTGGTGATTTGTAGTGTGGGTATTGACTAGGTGTTATGATAAGGGTGAATGGGTCGGTGATTGAATCAAAAGTATGTGTTTTGGGGGTGTGTGGAGTATTTCGATGTTGATCCATTTTTTAAGGTTTGGTGAATGAGAAATAGTTTGTAGTTTAGAAATAAAGAAATGGTGGTTGTAATGGGAAAATGTAAATAAAATATGTTAGTACTTATAGGTAAAATCTTGTTAGTTTTAATATATATATATATATATATATATATATATATATATATATATATATATATATATGTGTGTGTGTGTGTGTGTGTATGTGTGTGTGTAACTTGAGCATTTGAAGAATCTGAGTTTCATTGAGCACTTAGAACTCAATGGACCACTTAGGATTCAAGGAGCATGTGACAATGGAACATATCAATAAGAAGGGAATGGATCATCAGACAAAGGAATGGATTAAGTGACAAAGAAACAAATCTTCTAAAAGGGGGTATGGAGAACTTGGTAAAAAAATTAAGCACTTTGGAGCATAGATGTGATATCCTTCATGAGGATGCGCCATCTTGGAATACAAGTGTGACATTCGTTGTCTAGATGCGCCACCTTGAAGTCTTGATTCATCATCTTGGTGCAAGGTGTGACACATGTGTTCCTTGGTAAGCCACTTTTGCTATGATGCTCAAGATTGTTCAATGTTGCTAAAAAGTGGAAGATGCTCATGGAAGATGCTCATCGATGATACTCATGGAAGATGATCATCGATGATGCTTATGGAAGACGTTCATCGATGATGCTCATGGACGATGCTCATCTGTAACACTCGGTTTCAAAATTGCTCCGTTGTTTGGGGCTGCGACCCATTCATTAGTTATCGCAAGGCTTACGGCTTCAGGAAAGGAAGTATTTAGCCCATTTCGGATGTGGGTGTCATGGTATAAGTGATCCAAGTATTCGATGGTGTCTTCGGAAGCCAAGGGTATACTCATAATTTGATATCTCGGTCTTTTATGAATTTAGGGTGCTGTTCAGGAGTTTTTAAGGCTTGGGTGTTTTCTTAGGAGCGTAGGGCTTCTCGCCACCTTTTCATGGATATAAGGTTCATTAAAAACAAGCCTAAGATGGGGGAGTTATGGTATTTTGAAGTTATTGATAATTTGGTCCCTAATGGAAATAATTGGCAAGGCAGTCCCATGCATGCAAGATGGCATGTGCGTGAGTACGCCCAACGTAAGTTGGGGTACGCCCAGCGTAGTGCAGGATAAGTGAAACGCGGGTTTGGGAGATGTACACCCTGCGTACAGGAAGTACGCCCAACGTACATTCAGGATCCCCAACACCCTAATTTTAAGGGTTGGCTCACTATTTAAGCACCTTAAGTCCAGGGTGTGCGCCTCTCTTTCATCCTCCAGTGTCTTAAACCCTAAATCTCGAGTCATAGCTTCATCGAAGAGGGTTGTGTGCCTTGTATGTGCATTGTTGGTGGATTTTAGTGTATTTCAAGAAGTGGTGGCTTGGTGCAAGGTGGTGGTTCAAGGAAAGGCTAGTGGATCTGAACTCTTTGCTACATTTTCAGCTCATTGAAGGTAAAAAGCTCTTAACTTGATCATTAGAGGTTGAGATCTATGATTATATGGTTTTTGGTCCCATTTTGACCTCTTAAGTGAGATCTAGTGGTTGGACACCACTCTAGGAGCTTTGAGTTGCTACTCTTAGCATTTCTGAGGTTATAAGTCCATAAAGTTGCCATCTATAAGGTTAGATATGGTCCATGCATGTTCTAGATGGATTAAGATGGGTATTATTGGGTTAAGTTGGTCATTGGGTCCCTTTGAGCCATGAAAATGCATAAAGGTGCCGACTTTATACATTAGGAGTTTCATTTGGAGGTTTCCTGAAGTTTGGATGCAAAGTACTTAATGGGTTAAGTCAAAATTTAAGTTTGGAGAATATGCGGTTACGCCCCGCATAACTAGAGGTACGCCCAGCGTACCTCCTCTTTGGTCGTGATCCAGATTCCTCGAGTACGCCCAGTGTAAGCTGCGCATACGCCCCACGTTCGTGGCTCTGTGGGCCTTTGGGCTTGTTTCATGTTTGGGGCTTCGGTTTTATGTTGGGCTTATGTGTTGGGCTTTTTGGTCAGAGGAATTGGAGAGTTTTGAGACTTTTGGACATGCCTAGTTGGGCCAAGATTTTCTATTGGGCCTTGGTAAGCCCAATGGTTTTGAAATTTAGTGGGCCCAATGGACGTGGACCTTTGGGCCATCGAAGAATTATTTTTGGACCAGGAATTATGGGGCTTTTGGGTAAGGCCCATATGAGGTTGGTCCCAATTTATAAAATTGGGCCATTAATGGGCTTTTATGGATCTTATAGTTTTAGGCCTGGTTGGTTTTGGGCTTGGACCCTGGGTTATGAGTCTTGATGGGCTAGGGGTAAAATGGTCATTTTACCCCAAGTTTGGTTTAAGGATCATGGTTTGGAATTCTGTTGCTAATTGAATGTTGATTTGGTAACTGTTAGACAGGGAAATCGTCAGGCCAGCAGCTAGGGATTTCGTGCAGTGAGCTTCAGCAATCGAGGTGAGTTTCCTCATTGTTGTATGGGTCGAAGGCACCAATGTCAGCCCATTTGGCTTATGTATTGTAGGAAGACCCGGGGGTTATCCCTTGGCATTATGTATGAAAAACCAAGAGGCGGCTCCTGGCACACTATATGCAAGACCACATTCTGAACTCTGGCAAGTAATTAGTTAAGTAGTATTGTTTGTATGCTAGTTGTCTTTGTGATGCTTGCATTGAAGACCAGGAGGTGGCTCTTGGCACTTGTTTGTAAGACCCAGGGTTGTGGCCCCCGGCCTGGAAAGAAAGACCATGAGGTGGCTCGTGGCATAATGGCAAGACTATGTGCGACACATAGCACCTTTATTGTTTATTATATATGATTGATACGTACGACTCGTAGTTATGTATGACATGTATGGATTGTTTGATATTTATGGTATGTGGTATATGGGGAACTCATTAAGCTTTGTGTGACAACCCAAAATTTCTATCTTGTAAAGTCAATCAATTCAATCAAAATTAAGACTTGTTTCTGTTATCTTTTAGCATTGTTAAGGGTCTGTTTGAGAGTTCTAAGCCTAGTACACTCAAGGTTTGTGTGTTAGGAAGTGTTAGCTCAAGTTCTTTGAGTTGTAATTGAGCCAAAAACTCCATAAAAAGG